GCACTATTCTGCAAGTTTCTAACACAGTCACATAGCATTTCCTCTCATCCTGGTTTAGCTGCATGCTTTTAAAGACATAAGCAGCCTCAGGCTTGGCTATATTCTGCTCATTTTATAGATTCATAGAATCTATGAATAATCTTCCTTGGCTGTATACCCTGTTGCTTACATGTACATGTCAAAACTTCATCTATTTTTTCCATGACTCAGCAGCTTTACCTGAGAGTTTCAGCTCCTTGGGTATTTTCATATGCTCCATCTCTTCATCAGTTCTTGTCTTACCCTTTACTTTCTTTGCATCCCACTGCTAGTACCATGTAATGATGAAAGCTGTTAAGAAGTACACTTCTTTATAAAAACAAATATTGTTTATTATCTTCATTAAAGACTAGAGTGACATTTTTGCAAACAACTCTTTGCAACAACCAATGGCTCTGTCTGCTCTCAACTGGTCTCAGGCAATTCTGATTAACAAAGTAAACAGATTTAATCTTTTAGTTACCCTAACTATTCTCTTAAAGACACGGTGTGCTATTCTCACACTCCCCATTCCCATTCGTGCAGCTGTAGCAGGGCCTGATCCATTTGGTTCATAAGCCAGATCCAGTCTGCAGATTAACATGACCCCAACCATCCAATCCACAGGGCAAAACATTTGAGTATCACTGCTTTAGGTTGTTTTTTTTCAATTAGTCAAAAGTATTTGACGCAGTAAACTGACCTGCACTTTGCAGCCTGATAGAAAGACTTAGCTATCCAAGAAAGTTAATTGATTTTAAGATTAGTTCCATGATGATATGTTGCAGATAAAGATCAAAGGCATTTTTCTGATTCCTGTTCCCTGTCAAAAGCAGTATAAGGCAAAGAGGCCAGCTCAGCCATAATCCATCTGGCTGCTGTAACACCAGCACAGTTTGTTCTTGGTTTTCACTCATCCTGTGGAACCTGACTGTTTTAAGGGCCTTATGTTTATGTCTTCAAGTTTATGAATCTCCTTGGCCCTCTCAGAGTGTTCTATTAGGTATCTTAGTCTTGCTTTTTTTGCTGGTCATCACCTTGGTCAAAAGTATGTGCATGCCTCACATTCAGATATAGTATTCCATGAAGATCAGACAGCATTGAGACTCCATGATAAACGACAGTATTCCAAGGACAACTTATGCATTTCACTTAAATTTATTCGTTCTCTTGCCAAAATTGCTTTCCCTAGAGGGGGAGGAAAAGCTACATAATTGGACTCTGAAGCCCGGTAATATTACATTAATGGGTACATATCATTTAGATTGTCCCCATGAATAGATAAGCCCCATGGCTGTGACAAGCTGCTCCAAAAACCAGGGTTTTTCATGAGAAAATGGGTAAATGTTTTGTGTTCTGTAACTGTTCTGTTGAATTCAGGCTACCAGCTAGGAGCTAGCTTCCTTGGCTTCTTTGGCTACCAGCTAGCTTCCTTACTGACTCTTAAAATTTACCCCATGAATTTTCAAGTCTGCTTCTGAAATGCATCAACAATTAAAATCTAAGGACTGCTTTGCCATTGTAAGTGCAGTACTCCTCTGTTCATCTGGGGTGATTCATGGAGCAAAAATTAGTTTGATCCTGATTACACACTTCCTGTGTGTAAAGTCTTAAAGAAAATAGAAATTCATTTAACAAACTTACCTTACTTACAAATTAGCTTCATTCTCAAAAATATACTATTAGGATTACTGGGGCCCAGATATCTTGGGGAGGTTGCTAATTGTAACCTAGAAATAAATGAATGCATAGTTTTGTTTCTAAGAAATGAATTTGCTGTGGGGAGTATTCCAGAATTAGTTTGATGGAAGGGTGGAAGTTCTATACAGAGACATCCCCCATGAAAAGAGGTTACAAACTTTGAAGAACATTACCTCTCACCATGACACTGCTTCTGTTTCCATCAGACTGTCCCACTTGGTCCTTTCACAAAACTGTTTCAGATATGGGGACTACCTATACCTACAAATGAATGGTACTGCCATGGGTGCACATACGCCTCCCCCTTCACGTGCCAATATTTATGAAACCTCAAAGTCCACTTCTACAGATACAAGGTGGATGGGAATGTATACATGAGGTACATTAATGCCATCTTAGGATATAGGCTAGGGACAGATATTCCAGGGATCCTGGTTTTCTCTCATTTAAAAATTGCAAAAATCTCTGATAAAAATTAAAGGCCCCTCACAATTCCCCCAGCACTGCTGGTGCCCCTCACTCCCCCTGACAGCCTCCTCAGCCATCCTGATGCCCCTCACTCCCCCATGACAGCCCCCCAAACCCACACACACAGGCATAGACATGCAGACAGATGCAAGCACAGACACTGACACCCACCCCAGCGGGTAAGTGTGTGTGCGGGGAAGCAGCGGGGCAGGGCGGGGGAAAGGGAATGTGCTGGGGGGGGCAGATCAAGAATGGGGAAAGCGTGCCCCTGTGCCCAATCCCAGAAGCAGGGCCAGGGGGTGAGGGCAGGGGTGCCAGTGTGCAGGCCAGACTGACAGGAGGTTCACACATGGATGCCACCACCACCACTCTGCCACTGCACCCCATGCTACCATCCCACGGCTGCCCACATGGCTTTGTGGGAAGCAGCTCAAGGTGCAGCAGCACCAGTGCAGTGACGACCACATATGTGCCACCCAGCTCGGCGGGCAGGGGGCCTTACATGCAGCAGCTGCCACTGCACTGCTGCTTATGCCCCGTGACCAGCTCCATGGCTTCACAGCGGTGCCAGGTGGTGATGGCTGCCTGCCAGCTGGGGGGCAAGTAACACAGGGTGTAGAGTGGTGGTACCTGCCATGTGCGGACTGCACATGTGCCTCCCAGCTGGCTGGCCATGGGCGGGGAAGGAGGGGCTTGCATGCAGCTGGCTACATGGCTCTGTGACCAAGGCTCCAGAGTGGCAGCGATGGATGCTACCTGTGGGGGTGGGGGGGCTCACACACAGTGGCCATGGCTACCACCATTCTGCCACTGCCACCCTGTGGCTCACTGCACAGCTTCGCGGGCATGGCTGCATGGTGGCAGCAGCAGCATTGGGAGATTTCACATGCAGCAGCCACCACCACTGGCATGGCTCCACAAGCAAGTGGTAGCAGTGGCAGCTTCCACGTAAGAGCTCCCTGTGGCCCCCACAGCCATCATCCCTCACCACTGCTGCGGAGCCATGGCCACAGAGCTGTGCAGCCAGCCATATGCAATCCTCCCCCTTCCCTTCCCCTGGCCAGACAGCCAGGTGTCATGTGTGCAGCCCACACATATTGGGCACTACCACACACATCCTGAGTCACTTGCCCACAAAGCCATGCAGCCGGCCGTGGGAAGGCAGCACGGGGCATGGTGGTGGTGACCTCCATATGCAAACCCCTTGTCAGGCCAGCCAGCATGTGTGTGACCCACAGAGGGGCACCCCTGCCCTCACCCCCAGCCCTGCTCCTGGGAGCCATCACCCCCCGGCCCTGCACCCCTGCCCTCACCCCCTGGCTCTGCTCCTGGCTGCAGTGTGCTGCCTGGGGCTGGGGGTGCCCCCCCCCACTCCCTCAGCCCCCAGCCACCTTACCTATCCCTGCCCCATAACACTCAAGCCCCACTTACCTCCAGGCTCTAGGGGCAAAGGGCAAGCCTGAGCCTGAGCTCTGACTCAGAGGCTCAGGCCCTGCCCTTCTCCCTCCCCCTCCCCTTCCAGGCAGGGCTGGGGGTTTCCTGCCCTTTCTGCAAAGAGCTCTGGCAGGCTGGAACTGTGCCAGCCTGCAAGAGCTCTTTGCAAAAGCAGAGAATCCATGATTTCTCTGGTAAAAGGGGAAATCCACACTGTCTCCAATAAAAACAGAGAATCCCTGGTTTTCTCTGTTTTTCCATGGGAAACAGAAAACCTGGATCCCTGGACATAACACAGAAACAGGTTTGAGTGATCAGAAACTGGTTTAAACCTGTAACAGAACACAAGTTCAGGGCACATAAACCAGTTTGAAAATGGCTGAAACCAGTTTGAAGTAAACATGGTTGAATGTAGTATTGGACTGAACTGATTTTGCTCAAACCAGTTTATGCAATGTCTGTCCCAGACCCCTTTCTGGTTTAAGATAAACCAGACTTCCCCAGCATTCTGGCATGCTCTCTGGGCTGGGTGGGGCTCTCTGCTCCACAGTAGGGTTGACCCCTCCCCTCTGCTCCCTGGCTGGAGCTCCAACAGAGACTTGCAGACACAGCAGGGTCTGCCTGGCTTCCCCCTGACCTACCCACATCTCACTGCTTTCTGGACAAGAAGGGATTCCCCCTTTCCCTCCCTCCTATCTCTCACAGCACTGACCCCAGCCACATGGACCCTAGGCATGTGGTGTCTCTGTGTGTGCGTGTCTCCGATTTCACTGGGATGGGCCGACAGAACACAGTGACCATTTAGGGCTGTTTGGAACTAAGCAACAGGTCATCTGGTAAGCTGTTTAAGAAGAGTTTTTGGCTAATGGAGAGAGACTATTGTTTTACTGATGAGGTGATAAACATTGTTATCAGCCTCCTGCTGGCTTGCTCCCCTGTTAGTTTGCTCAGACAGTATAAAGAAACTGGGAAGAATATTGATGATGCAGAGCTTTTCAACAGATGCATGCACTGCACATACCCCCTTGCCTCAGAGTGCTAGCTGAGGTCTGGCAACACTCCTGCCCCTTGAGCAGACAGAGGAGAAAAGCCTGGGAGTCCATTCATGGCATCTGATGAAGTTGCTTACAGAAGCTTATGCCTCTTGTAATTAGTGAGTCTATAAAGTGCTACTATATTATGCCTTCTATGAGATTGAGACGGGGTTTGTAGAGCAGTTTAGAAATTACTGCTTCTGTAACTTGCAATTTCCTGGACTTTTCATGATCGTGTTGGTAGGAAGCTCTCTTGATCGTAAAATTAATTAAGAACTTTTATTGTGTAGAGTATATTTTGAATGATCTATGTGATATTTATTATAATACAATTCCACTCCACAGGATCGGGCCCAAAATCTTAATGAGCGAAGAACAAGTACTACTACTGTCACAGTCGATGTGCTGGATGGAGATGATCTTGGACCAATGTTTCTTCCTTGTGTTTTAGTCAGCAATACTCGTGACTGCAGGCCACTCACCTACCAAGCCAGTGTGCCAGAGTTGACTGATCCTGTAAGTATCCTCGGTTCTAGATTGCTTCTTCACTGTTTCCTACCGGTGTCATGTTTTTCTACAGGCAAATTTGAAAACATAATTAACTATAGTTTAGTTATCATGGTGCCCAATTAGAATCAAACGTTTTTATTTGTAGGCCTGAAATGGAATGTTAAGTTGAGAGATCCTTCTCAGCAATCATCTTCAAATTTGCAGGTGATAATTTACAAGAAATGTATGTTGCCATTTAGGTAGATATCTTCAAGACTTAAAATGGAAAGGAGTATTTCCTATCTATTTGTATTTGCTTGCTGTGAGCATATACATATTACAAGATATCTTTTGGAATAGAGTGTGAAATTTTAGTCCCATAAATGTCAATGGCAAACAGATCATTGTCAGTGGGGCATGATTTTCACCCTGTGATTAATCATATTGCTGTGTATGATTGACTGGGTATATCCATACTCCCTCTGAATAGTAAGCTAGTTACTTGGGTTCATACCAGTGCATGGACATGCTCTTTCAGAATAGAAATTGCTTTTAGCAAAAGCTTAGGTGCCAACTGTCTTTAACTATCTCAGCTTTAGCTAGTGTTGTTCTAAAATAAGGGAGTCTTCACAGATTTTGCTCTGAAATCAACAAACTTGTATTAGTCAATAATATTTATGCAATATTATGTAGTCCAGTCTTCTGTGTGTATTCTCTTAGTATTTACAAAGCATGTATGCTTACTACTAGCTGCTTTGTAACTATAGGGGCTTCTGATATGTGAGGTTGAACTAGCAGAAATTTAACATTTTCTATAAGAATTAGTTTTATGTTGCTTGTAGTTTAGCTCAACTCCAAGCACTCAAAGAAATGGTTTTGGGTTGCATTTATTTATACTGCAAGTAGAGCTATTTTACTGGAATTGCATCTGCAATGAATTTGACCTAGCATTGTTCTAAAGTATTCCTCTTTGTTTTACCAGGAGGGTCTCCTTTGTTTCTCTTGCCTTTACAGTGCATAGTCAGTGAACGAGGAGTTGGCTAAGCACAAGATTCTAAAAATATAACAACAAAACTTTTGCACTTTTTTGGTCAGAATCCTAAACTAATTATTTTACTCCTTCAACATTTATTGTGATACCACCTAACCTCCTATAAGTCAGAAATGTACTGCTAGCTATGTCTGTAATGTTATTGATGCTACTTGCAAACTTCAAACCTTTTTTACTATGCAAACACAGTTAAAAGCAAAGTTGACAGTCCAGTGGAAATGGTGAATAACAGAACAACATTAAAGACAAATAAACTTCAAAGCCATATCTGTGACACAATTTTAAAGATTTGCAAAAATCACAGGCCAATTTAAATATTTCAGTTTCATTACAGATCAAAATAAAACTGGCAGTTCAAAGAAAATGGCAAATGAATAATCTGTAGTAAATAACCTGAAGATCATTTAAGAATATTTTAACTCCCAATGTTAGGGGTACACTCATAAAGATTTTCTTGACTGATACTGATTGCCAATTATTAATCAGCCATATCAGCTGAAACTGATCTGAGAGTAGATTTACAGGAATACAGCCTGGCAGCTTGGAGAGCAGCCTCCTGCCAGCAAGTCTGTAGGGGGCATAGGGGATAGATCAAGGCCCCAACAGTGAGGGAGGAACTGAGACAGTGCTGGGGCTGGGACAATGGCAGGCACTGCCCAGCCAAGGTGACTCTGGGAGTGGGGTGGAGCTGTGGGTGGCTCCTCCGGGGGAGTGCAAAGGCATGGTAAGGGAGGGGCAGCTCCCCACCATTGTGTGCACTCCAGGGAGGGAATGAGGGGTATATGCCCCCCCCCCCCGCCACGT